CAGGCTCACTTGTCTGATAAAAGCTATTACACACTACCACTTATGTGCTTCATCTCATCTTGGCTGTCGAAGAACTTTTTGGTGAAATAACAGTTTGTATCTGTCTCTGCCCTTCAGATCATGATGTTTATTTCTTTTTCTTCACAAATCACCATTTTACATGAACTTATAAGTCATATTTTAACATTTTTACACTATATCCCAGAGACCGTTGACCCTGATTACTTCACAAAGTCAGAAACCTGTAAAATGTCCATGGCATTTTGTGTAAAGCTGCTTCTTTTATTCATGAGCATTGAGAGGGCTTCTTAAGGATTGTGGATTGACGTTTATAAAAGTATTTGTTCTTAATAGCCCATAGCCAGTTGTGACTATGTGCGGTCATACTTAAGCGTTGTGCTACATGTAGTATCAGCATTCTAACATGTACACAGTTTTAATTTCCTGATGTTTATCATGTATGTTAACCATTTATTACACTGTGTCTAAGTGTGGGACATGGATGTTTGTTGGCAATTTTAAATAGCTAGTGAGACAAAGCACAATGTCAACCTCATGGTTGGCAGTAGTCAGATGGTGACTAAAGCTATTAGGATATATCATCTGGGGACCATGACTCTGTGTACAAATATTCATGGTAATCCATCCAATAGGTTTTGAAATAAGTTAGTGCAGACAAGAGGTAGACTTACAATGTCTCCCAAAGACTGTATAAAGATGGATGACATGACTTCTCCCTAAAAATGAAGCCAAAGTGTCCTGATTGCCTCCTGGTGGCTGGCCACAGTACAGGTCAAACATTCCGGCCTCCTCCATGTTATTTTTTGTGACATGGACAAAACCAAAAAAATCCACTCCAACAAAATCAAAGGTGCAATTTACTGTAACACCAAAAAGTTGGGGGACTCACAAAGGACAGGTTGGAGAAGGAGCTTTAAAAACTGAGGCAGTAGAGGGTGGATATTCAGATTCTTGATTCCTTATATAGGTAAAGCTTAAAACCCAAATCCTATACTTCCCATGATGCAACTAGAAAGCATCTATTAAAAAGGTCCTCTCTGTCTAATGCACTTCTTTCAAAACCCACAACCCCAGTTTGTGACGTAGGCTTTCTTTCTCAAGTGTCAAGCCCAAGCTGAGATAACCCTGGTAACTTCATTAGGATTTTTTTTCCTTCAAACTTTGGAATAGCTCATCCAGTGTCAAAGACCATATAATCTGCTTTCACAGGTTCAGTAGTGCTTCTCACAATGAATAAACTAACATTAATGTCTAAAATCACTGTAGTGTCCCGTTAACATCTAACATTTAAATTTATTCTCTGTGGAAGAAAAGTGTTCTTTCACCTCTGGTTGGCTCTGTATGGATTTTCAATTCCTTGGCTGACACAAAAAATGATATCCCCTCACATGCACTGTCCTGATGACAGCTACAAACCGAACTGCCAACAAAATAACACTATACATAGCAGAATATATATGATGCGTGTGCTCTACATACATGTTCAGTGTAGTTAAGTCAGGGCAGGGAACACTCTTGTTAATGGGATAAATTACCGGGGTCTAAAGGGTTAAGTGTACCGTGCTGTGTGAGGACAAGAGCTGTGCAAACAGATGTGAGAGGGTGTGTAATAAATAAACAATGAGCAAGTGGAGACTCTTCAACCCATCCCATGAGCTGACCAATACAAATCATTACAACCAGCTCACTATCATACCCTCTATAAACATCTCCAGGCTGCAGATTGATGACAACGTAGCCCATTAACCCGTAATATCCTTGTCAATTGTTTTTTACTGACTATAATGGCTTCCACTCAATGCAACTCATTCCCAAAGCATTCAGACGGATATAAATTGCTATTTATCCACTTCATCAAATGTCCGCGGCAGCTCCACACGTCTCTGTTCGGCAAATCAACAGGCTAATTAAAGCCGATGAATGAATGAATTCATAAATCAACTCTCCGTGGAATATTTGATTACAGCTAAACATTTCCTGGATAAATGTAAATGAGCCATGGCCTTAAAAAGAAGGAAGATTTGCACTCAGAGGAAGCTCTTTTGGTATATTATATAAATATATTATTAATAAAACAGATAAACAGTTTTGTCATGATTGGAAATAAAAGTAAAAACTTTCCAAAGCCTGTTGAGGTAGCATTAATATGTTTTACCTCAGATGACCTGACACTGTCTCCATATTGTTCAGCTAAAAGCCTGAATCACAACATTCACAGAACATCTGAATGTGTCAAAGTGAACAAATGGACGCCAGCTCTTAAAACATGAGATTGCAAAACCTTTCATTAATAATAATGGCTCCAAAAGCATGTTTATATTAAAACCTATTTCTGTGATACTGGAGTGTATCCACGGGCCTACCTTTGCACACTGCCAGTTCACTCATTTGTTCCACGTACGTAGTGAGTCCACTTAAGGGAGAACATAACAATATCAAATGGGCTTAGTCAGCAGGCTAGCAAATGATCATGGTACAAAACATCTCAGTGAGGCAAACAAACATGTCCCCTGTAATGATTTCCCATAAAGCCATTTATATGTTTTTCAATGGGCCAGAGTCACACTCGACTTGAACCATATGCTATTGACTGCGAGTGGTAATGTGCCAAAGTGGGAATGGTCATGATGTGCCAGTTTTTACGCATTTGTTTATTTTTTTACTCCAGCGCCCACATCAATAAGACTCCCACTCCTTGTATGTTCAAAGATCTTCATTGACTTCATTCAAGTGTGACATCCTCATTGTGGTTTTTATTGTTGAGTCGTTACCAAGCTGTGACTTCTGCCAATCGTCTCTGTCTTCATCAAACCTGTGAAAACATCGTGATGTGAATTCCACTTAGACCAAGTGTGAGTCAACAAGTCACTGAGAGCATTTCTTTTCTTTAATCTGCTATTGATTGCATATTATGTTGTTTTATGAGGCTAATATATATATATTAGAGGCTCCTTCTGTGTAGAGTTACCATGTTCTCCCTGTTATCTGAGTGGGTTTCTCCAGGAACTCCGGCTTCCCTCCACAATACAAAGACATGCAGCTTGGGGTTAAGTCGATTTGCGGCTCTAAATTGCCCCTAGGTGTGAATGTGTTGTGTATGTTGGCCGTGTGATATTGTGACCTGTCCAGGGGGTACCCCGCCTCTCAGCTCCCACAGCGACCCTCAAAGGATAAGAGGTATAGATAATGGATGGATTACTACTAATATGCTTAATATCTCTATATCTGTAGAAGACATGACTGTACAGCTCATCTCAACAGGTTCACAATCAAAGAGATTGAATAATAAAAATATATTAGCTATAATAAATTATAACATTTCATAGAATAATGGAAACCATTAAAATAAAAACAGCTTCCATAAAAAAAACATGAGCAGTTACATACAGTAACATGCACTACTGCTGCGTTTGCACAATGTTTACTACACATTGCCCCAACAGTGCTGGGTTGCATCCATCAGCTGCACACCAAGTGTTAAAGACAAAAGAAAAAACATTTTTTTAATGGGTCCCATTATTCCATAATAATATCTCTGTAAGTATTGATTCGCAGTCATCCAGGTCCTGGTATCTTCAGACGTTGTACTCGTGGACTTGGCAACTGGACTTGCTTGAGATTTTAGTATCAGTACCTTTCTAGTAACAGGAAGTGTTACCAAATGGAGAAACCTGGATTCCTAACATAGTTTCCTGCATCAGCTCCTTAGAGCAAGTCATTAATTCATCATGAACCTAACATGAACCAGATGAGGCTTTGAGACCAATACTGCTGCTGAAGTACAACATTTTTTCCCCCATGAATAAGAATGACTATGTTCCTGCACAGCATTGTACTATTTTTTACTGTTGTGGAACTCTTAAAGGCTGCTATCATCAATCTTCCATTATATCAACACATGGTGAATGCTCTGTATTTAAAAAGAGCCTTTCTAGTCTTGATGACAATTCAAAGCTTTACTTTATGTACCACACATTGCTCATACGCTGCAGGCAGCTGTCAGAGGCTTGACTTGACAAATAATTACCACACAAATCCACTGTCCCCTTCAAGTATACAGAGCGTTAAAGCCTCGTTCTGCTAATTGCTTTGTATTTAGGACCTGCAACTTCAAGCTTCACTTTATTCAGACACAGCATACGTTTACCAGCAAGAAACAGAAGCCAGAATAAGCAGGTGAACACTGTGCTGCATTTTGCTGCTAAAGAGCCAGGTGACCTTGGTCTCGGTTAAGAAACCTTGGGGAGCCGCAGCTAATGTGTCTGGTGTGGCGGCAGCCTATGAGCAGAAGCAATCTATGATGTTGTGAGTGGCTGTTTTTTCTTTGTTATCTCTGTTATTGGATGATACAGTGGTGGGTGACAGGATAGATGGGGTCAGGGAGTGGAGGTCAAGCAACAAACACTGTGCACCTGGCTCACAATCTTGTTGCTGGAGCCAGAGGCACCAGGATCCTCTGGAGTTGATTCATTCCTCCAGTTTATCTTACTTCAGCTCACACACACATATTTCTTACATTCGGTGGTGTTAAGATCAATGCATTTTATCGATTCAACTCTTTCACACCAGTGCTGCTCCCTCCTCACATTTGTTTTCGCCCTTTTTCCTGTTTAAAATTGTTGCTTCTGGGTTCTTGCAGCCACAGGCCATTACCCATGTAATGGTTAAAGCTAATCTCTACAACCACAGATCAATTCTTACAAATCTCTAACTCTTGCTGTATGATTTCATCAGTGATTCTAGCCAGGAGCCCACAGCGGCCGCTTCCTGCCCACTGGAAAATGCCCATTTTTTTTCTGTTTATTGCCTCAGGTTGTGCTCTCACCACCTACACTCTCCATCTCCTGGTGTTGGCTGAACACTCTCCCACCACCAACGCTTTGACTGACCAGCTAATGATCTTTATACATTGAGATTAACGCAATATTCCTGTCACTCTATCTCATTTCTCCCTGCAGACTGGAGCCAAATCCCGTAGGCTTCATTTCTCAGATTCTCCCACTGTTGAACCCCGACTCCAGCTTTCTACCTGCTGGGCTCCTGTTTGCCGCTGCTTGTCTGGGTGTGCTGAGCGATGAAGATCCCTCTGTGGTGCTTGGTGGTGCTGCTGGCATGTCTCTTCACCCCTGGACGCAGTGACTGCCAGGGCCAATGTGCGGCCTGCAGTATGCTCCTGCAGCAGCAGCAACAGCTGCAACAAGCCTTCAACACCATGGTGAGTGAGTGTGTGTGTGTGTGTGTGTGTGTGTGGTTGTGTGTGTGTGTTGTGTCACTGCTGAGTCGTAACAACCCACTGTTGATAAGAGCACCAGCTAAATGCCTTGTCAATGCTGGAGAGTGTGTGTCAGTGTGGGCTCAGCTGCAATAAGCTTTCAACACCTTTATAGAGGTGTGATTGTGTGAATAGGTTGTTTTCAAGCTTGATAAGAGCATCCATGTGTTTTGTTCAGTGTGACAGTGCTGTGTCCACTTTTTTGGGCATCATGGTGTAATGGCGAACCAAGTAAATCTAATCTGTGCACCTGTCAAGTAAATACATTTTAATTTTACAATTCTAAACTGAGGAAGAGCAAAAAAGATCAAATAAAAGGACAAAACATATTTTTTTATAAGATACAATAAAAGTGAGGGCGTATTACAAACAATCCCAAGGTCTAATTTATTTCATTACATTTTGTGCAATTGCATCTCATTGATGTTGAGATATTTTACTAAAGATAGGGAGACAGTCGGGTTGTTGACTGGTTTTCAGTTGACCATTGTGGAGTCAAACAGCTTGGCTCAAAGGTACAGAGCTTTCTATGAGTTCCTCAACAGGTGGCATGTAACTAAGTAGACATTGCAGGTAGTATTGCTTCTGCCTTATATTGGGAAATATTTGCAGGTACATGTATCTATGTGAAACGCTTCATGACCAGCATCTAATGCATAGGAATTGCTCCCTGAATTCAAAATTCCAAACGGTCCAAGACACATCAGTGGGTAAAAATAGTCTCTGGGCGACCATGAATAACTGCAGGACGGCTAATTTAGCTGATAATGATGCAGAGAAAGACAGCTGGGACCTTTTGGGAAGTTGTAATAGAACTATGTAATTGACTGCTGCTCAGTATCATCAGCCGCGGCTTACACTGGTGACTGACACATTTTATCAGCTCCTCATTGTGTTAGCCGCCTTCCCATTGAGCCACAGATGGAATCCACTGAGCAATTCCATTGTTGCCACTCTAGACTGGAAGAGTGTGTGTGTGGAACCTCCGGTGTTTGCTATAATGTCAGGACCCATTGATTTATTCATGCAGGGCTCCAGACTCATGTGTATATGTGTGCATGCATCCACTCACGCGCACAAGCACACAAATAAATCACACCATCCTCTGACTAGAATCACAACATAATGTTATTCGTGGATGTAAATGGGATCTTTTGTTTGCATTTGGGCTAATTATCTCTACTGTGGCTATTCCTGTGTATCGTCTTTTGTGGGTCTGTGGTTATGTAGCATTTAGCCACAGTATTCCTCACCTCCACATACCAACAAGCTCAAACTAATTCCAACCTTACCGTTGTTATTAACGGCCAAACTCAAATTTCCTCTCTGTGAATAATAAAGCTTTCGAAGCAATTTCGCTTTTAAGTATTTCCATAACCTTTCTATCCTGTGGTCCTCATCGGTATATAAATACATGACTGCGACTGCACTTTCCCCCCCCCACACACACACACGCACGTCTCCTCTCACTCATAAACTCCTTTAGATTGCTCCATTGATCTAACGTGGAGAATCCCCTAATGTGCTCATTTCATTTACGATGGATAATTAATTTCCGTTGATAAATTTGCAGCAGCGCTCCCTCTCCTCTCATCCCTTTGATGTGAGCAGTTTTTCTGATAACAATGCAATTTATCTCATTTGAGCAGGATTTGATGAGTAAATGGGATTTGCTTCTTACCTCAAACTGAAATTTCACTTAGACTCTCCGGAGTTAAAGAAAGAGGAGAAATGAGAATTTCGGAGGAAAACATTTCCACAGTGTGGCAGACGTCGTCTAGTTTTACACATATACTAGATTAGAGGAAAAAATTATGGATTTTCTGCATTTTAGGGTATAAATCATAAACTGGGTCTTCGAGTAAGTCAGCAGGTTAAATCTAAAATATAATAATCTTTGATGAAAGATTCTGTCATTGCCAAAAAAGAGGAAAAATACACAAAAATAAATGTCTCATATGTCCTTGTCTCTGTACTAATATGTCACTACCTCCTTACCTCCTTACCTCTATACTAATATGTCCTTACTTCCTTACCTCTATATGAAAATGTCACTACATTCTTACATCTATACTTATATGTCACTACCTCCTTACGACTGTACTTATATGTCCTTATGTCCATACCCTTATATTAATATGTCCTTACTCACTTACCTCTATATTAATATGTCCTTACCTCCTTACCCATATACTAATATGACCTTACATCCTTACCCCTATACTAACATGCCCTTACCTCCTTACCTCCATACTAATATGTCCTTACCTCCTTACCTCTGTAATATATGTCCTTACCTCCTTACTTCTACTAATATGTCCTTACTTCTATATTAATATGCCCTTGCCTCCTTACCTCTGTANTCCTTACTTCTACTAATATGTCCTTACTTCTATATTAATATGCCCTTGCCTCCTTACCTCTGTAATATATGTCCTTACCTCCTTACTTCTACTAAAATGTCCTTACCCCTATACTAATATGTCCTTACTTTTTACCTCTGTAATATATGTCCTTACCTCCCTACTTCTACTAAAATGTCCTTACCCCTATACTAATATGTCCTTACCTCCTTACCCCTATATTAATATGCCCTTACCTCCTTACCTCTATACTAATATGTCCTTACTTTTTACCTCTATACTAATATGGCCTTACCTCCTTACCTCCATACTAATATGTCCTCCATATTACAATGTATACTCCTTATATGTCCCTAACTTCATAATAGTCAAGTTATGGTTCGCCTACAGCGTTCAGGCATGAGGTCAACCGTCAAGTGTGGTGAAAAATAGGACATTAAAGCTGCAAAGCAAGTCAGTGAGCCACTAAATTAATTCTATATAAAAATTTATTTTTCAAAACACTATAAATCAATCAATATCAATTCAAGAGCAAAGACATCATTACCCGCAAGTTCAAGAGCCAATTATACTTTTTTTTTTATCATATTGTCAGCGAAGTACGTAATTTACCTGCTATCCTTCAAACTGATTTGAAATTTCTTCCAATTTGGTGCTGTCAGTCATTTTGCAGAAGTAGGTGTCAAATGTATCAAATGATGGACATTTCATATTGGCACATAACTCACTATATACGCTGAACACAGTGGGAACGAGTCCCATTAACTCTCATGACACACATGCCCTCCAGGTCAACAGACCTTTCTCAGCCGAGGGTCTGGTCGCTCAGGAAAGAAGTGACACTTTTTGGTTTAAAAAAAGAAGTGTGATTGAGTACCCTAACTTTTATGCTGACCGTGGGCAATATATACATTCGTATTATTTAACAGGCACTCCAATTCTTGATGCTGTCATATTTTATCCTTATCTGGAACCACTGTGTGACTCAGTTGTTTCCTTTCCTTACTCATGCTGCGGAAGTATAATTAAAGCGTAATGGGTCAAATGACTTCAAGTAATGCAAAATGAGTCACAGTGGAGCAATTAACAATCTCAAGACATGGTGAAGACCAAAACAAAGTTAAAAGGAGAATGAATATTGGACTTATGTTCATCAGGTTGACAGAAACATGACTAAATGAAAGCTAATGCTGATGTTCTGTGTCCATAATCAGTCAAACTTATAAATGCAGCATTGAACATCTACAGTGTATTTAACAGTCATGTTACTGTAGCTCTATGGCTGCTAAGTCTCAGTATTTCTGGTGGTTTAATGTATAAACATGTGGAGGTAGCATGGAGAGCACCTTCACCTGGACCAGAGGATCAATCAGTGCAGGTGAGAGCTGTTAGCTGATTGAATCTCAGGTTTAAAAGGCAGCAGCAGAGCTTCCTCAAGGAGACAGTCGCAGAGAGACACACAAGGACTGAGACAGACACACAGAGACACTGAACTAGCCTGAGCTGCAAAGCCAGGGGCCAGCTGAAATAGAATAAACTTTAAGTTGATGTTTTTGTAAGTTTATGTTTTGTTTAATAAAGTGACGTGCAAAGCAGCTGGTTTGTCTATGGCTGTGCGTGGGAGAGCCCTGGTCAACTACCACAAACAAACAAAACCTATGGGCTGAATTTCAAATTATTCCTCGGTTGAAATAATCAAATTAACTGTCATGTGCTCTTCGTTAACACATCACTCTTTCTTATCTGCCTACAGATGTGTTTGTTGGAGTGCGAGGGTCACGTCTCTGCCTCGTTCACATGGGAGGTGTGTAAACGTGCCGTCAAACTGTCCCACCATCCTCTGTTTCCTGAGGGGGGCGCTCTGTTCAAGAGAACAGGAGAGGAGCTGGAGTTGACCCCTCTTGACCTGAACACTGACGGTGAACTGCTGCAGTCCTCAGCCGCAGAGCGTTTCCAGGAAGGGGATCAGGATGAGATACCGCTCAAGCAGCGCAGTGTCCAGTATGACTCATCACTGCTGGAATCCTCTGAGGACGGGGAGGGCCTGCAGGGTTTGGATCTCAGTCTGGTGGATGAAGAGATGAAGTTGAGGGAGGAGAGGAACGTCGGGAGCGACAGCCAGCTAGAGGTGGATGAGGATGACAGCTCAGAGGCTGCTGTCGCCTTATCCAAGCGCTTTGGTGGCTTTCAGAGAGGGCGCCACGGATACAGGAAGCTCATTGGCTCACCCATGAGGCCCCTACAAAAGCGCTACGGCGGGTTCATAGGCGTCCGGAAATCTGCCCGCAAATGGAACAGTCAGAAACGTGTGAACCAGCTGCTCAGACAGTACCTGGGCATGAGGAGCAGCCGCAGCGGCAGGTTCAACAACGTCCCTGTAACTCGGGTCTGGAGGCAAAACAAACTGTGATGTGTTTCTGTTGCTCTCACAGAATCCGGCCCCAGTTACCTCAACCAATCAATCATGTTTTCAACAGCTCCCTCCAGTTTGAACTGTGACATCACCACCACCAACACCATCATCATCATCAGAAGAAGAACAGACTTCGCCATCTCGCTCAACCTCTTTTTGTGTCTCTAAATAAGGAATGTTTTGACTGTGATGTCCTTCCTATTGAGCATATTTACATGCCGTCCTGTCAAAATAAAAGAATACGAGAAGTGCAATTGAATATATTTTTGTGTGTTTGTATAATAAAAGGGCCCAAATGAGATTGGAAAACTGGTTCAGTGCAAGGTTTGTCAGATGTGACATTTTAAATCATGTTGAATGCACTTTCATGCATGTGTGGACAGGTCGTTTCTTTGCACTCTGTAGTTATGGGAACCATAACTGATGTCCGGCTGTCCCGCTCATATTAAATGGACTTATGTTTCAATATATAGGTTTTCCATATTTTAAATGGCAAGTTTACGATCTGGCACCAAACAAATCCTGTTCAGCAGTCTCACATAGAGGCAGCAAATTAGAAAACTAGAGCTTGACCAACTGTGCTTGAGGTTGTAAATATGGCACAAACTGTTCACTATTGGTATAAGAGTCCTATATTCTGCTGAAGGAACTAAACTAATTGAACACATTGGATGTAAAATGAACTCTGAACTTTCAAACTCACCATAACTGCATTCTCTTAAAAAAAACCCTTCCTGCCATTGTTTCATTGATAAGCTGTAGGTTTGCAGGATTCCTGTCAGTGGAACAATACTGACCTCTAGTGTTGGAGGAGCAAACATGTTCTTGGATCAATTTCTGTCAATGTCCTCAGTGATATTTAATGTAATTTTTTGTATTGATTCCCTCATTCTACAGTTTGGGTGAAATCATAAATTAGAAAATAACAAACACAAAAATGGGGCTGATTCATGGTTCATACTTACTCACCTCATAATTGATCATATTTGCCAACAATCCAAGGAACTGTACAAAAATTATTCAAGAAGGGAGGGGTGTTGAACTTACTACCCTCCCCTGTTTTATTTTGAACGTGCCCTTAAGGAAACGACAACACTTGAAGACAAATAATACAAATACATATTAATAAATATAAATTATTACAATTTATCCTAAATGAATTAGGTACAGCCATAAAAACAAACAGAAGTTTGATCTTTTCTCTTCAGTAAAATTACATGAAACTGGCAAATAATGGCACAAAAAACAAATTCAGCAAACAATTTCTGACTTCCTTTCTAATAATTTTCACAAAGTCTCAAACTTACTGTGTAACCATGGAAATGAGGGAGCAATAATTCCAATTTGGCAACAAATTTTCAGTCAGTCCTCAAACATTCCTTTTTGACGAGCTGCTCATGTCACTTTGTTCTTGTAAACTTCCGGGGTCATTGGCTGTGCACTGCAGCGTAGGATGGGAAAGGTTTGTAAGAAAATGACAACCACTATCTTAATGTACCGTTTAACAACAGAGGAGTAGAATGAACTGTGCATGTCAACGATTTATTCAGAAAAGGATTGTTTCTGCTCCGGTGATTAAAAAAAGATGCCATCACGATATTTTTCCTCCACAAGCAAGTTACATCCATTCTTTTGCATCTTAATAGTGTTTACTTGTGTTTGATTAAGAGATGTAATAATGTATGTGTGTGGGTGAGTGCAGAGAGTGTGTGTGTGAGGGTGCGAGTGTGCACGTGCATGTATGCGCTGGCTCTCTGTCAAACTCCCCATACAGAAACTGACTTTGTGAATACAGTGTACATTTCAGACCACATTTATAACATTAACCATTGTTCTGAGTCGTCATACAAAGTGTGTATAGAGAAAACTACAATAAAATAGTTTGCTATTTCTTTTGTGGACTGTCATGCAGAAGAAAAAACACCAAAAAAGTTTCAAATTCTCAGTGCTTTTTAATGTGTTTGACAATATATTTCCTTTTTTTTTCTTTTATTGCTATTACAAACTCATTCTCCTCACGCTAGTCCCATTACTCCCTGACTCCATAGCTTCACGGGTAAAGCCTCACAACACTGGTCATTTGCCGACAACACGGGCAGGAAGGAAATCCATTTCTTGGAAGGAGCTTCGTTGATTCAAACCAAATGTAGCTTATTCCTGTGAGTTTATATACCAACAAAGTGCCAAAAAATCTGCCCAATACACAGGCTGAACAAGACAATTAAAAAAAAGGTATAAAATACTTGTATGTAACTCAAAGCATACAATATAATGTACAGCATAAACACTGTGTAACCACTGGAAGAGAGGGTTGGAACGAAGAAAACAGCCAAGTAGCGGTCTAACAACTCGGAGCTACAGGGGCAGTAATATGACCTTTGGATAAGTACTGGACGCTTAGCACATCACATGGTCAAACTCAGTCAACAGTTAGCACCGTCGCACACTTCACTTTTCAGGATCAACTTACAAAGATACATAAAATTGGATTTGCATTCTTTTAGGAAAGAAACAAAACGGGGTGAAAGTAAAAAAAATCAGAACACATGTAATAAAAGAACAGTTGTTTTTCTCGATGGCTCCCGGGCCCTGATTTGAATCCTCTTTTTGATAAAAGTCTTTCTCTCACTCATCCGTCCATCCACCGCTTTGTCTCTCACCCTCTCTCTTCATCACACAGATCTGTTTTTTAGTCGGGGAAGCGCTGGCAGGCTTTTTTCCAGCGGCAGGCCGTGCACCACTGATCTTTACGCTCCACTCCGTACACCTTGCGGCACTTTTTGGCCTCGCCGCGACCCTTCCTGCAGACAGAGAGACACAAAGCGTGAGGCTGAGTGCTGATGTGAGAGATCAGGGAAAGGAAAGGGCACTAACACACATGATGTGATCAATCTATTAAAAAAAAGAAAGTAATTCAAAAAGCTTAACTTAAACTTTCCTGATAACAAATCTATGAAGGCCAGCGTCTCCTCATGACCAGACTTAAAACCTTAAAAAGTCAAACTGCTCTCACTCCAAACTTGACTGACCGGTCTTTTGAAACACTTCCTAATATTAATCTACCTTATTCTTGATATATAACGAAGTAACATGGAAAGTTTTCCTTTTAAATAGCTTTATGGTCTGTTACATGCCATTTTAAGATAATGAACTGAGACAGATGAGGCATGACATTCAAAAAGCGGGGTGAGGAGGAGTGGTGCCTTAACCCTTAAGCAAACAGGGTTCCCTCAAAATGCCCCATTTTTTTAATAGTATTTTTTTAATAACTAATTTGTTTCACATAACCAGACCTGTTTCTGTGTCAGGTCCGGCTCTAACCAATCACAGTCAAGACAAGGTCATACCCGTGCCTTCTTTAACTGAAGAAAACTTAATTCAACACATTCAACACAGTTCCTACTGGACAGTTTTTCATGCTCACAAATATTTTCTTGCTTTCACCCTGTTTTTAATGAGGTAAGAGTCTTTTAAGTTCAATAATCTTCGAACTATATTAATGTGACAGGAGTCTCCGTTTGCTTTGCGCAGGTACAGCTGGAAGAAAACTGTCCACTTTTATACATGTACTCTAAGTACATTTTAGAGCCTGTACTTTTACTTGAGTCATTTTGAACACACGTATCTGCACTTGTACATGAGTAAAAATGTGTGTACTTTTACCACCTATGCTAGTTAGCCATCACTCAACACTGTGAGTTGCGTCACCTGAAGGAGCAGTGAGTGCGGGAGGGCGACGCGCTCATCGGCTGCAGCCTGTTCTGTTGGAGCCACTGTTCCCCAACGCTCACAGAGCGGCAGCGAGGTTTCACCATCTGAGGAGACAGACAGCCACAGAGTTAGAGCGTCAGCGAGTGTGGCCGGCTCATACATGTCAGTGGGAGACGGGGTCACAACACAATCTTACTGTATCAGTTCATCAAAACTCAAATAGACTGGTCAGAAGAACACTGAGAATTAGATGCTGCTGTGGTGATGTCAGAGAATGAAGTTAAATCAAATATTGTTCAAGTAAATGTAAAACATAAAGCAGATTTACATTTATATATAATAAAAGGTACTTCACAGGATGGGCGACTTACTGGAGTGTTGCTGTGGCCTGACACAGAGGCAATGGGCGTCCACCCCTGGCAGCCGGGGCTCCTGGGGGCCACAAGTACCTGGACGGGGCTGCAGGCCTACAAAGAACAAAGAACAGGAGACAACACATGACTCTTCGTGTCTGCACAACAATAAAAAAGTCAGTGACGATTAAATGTTAAACAAAAGGCTAAAAGATGCTAAAATGTGACAGAGCAGAGGGAACCTGATGAATTGTTGATGAATTGGGATTATATGGGTTTGTATACGAGCGGCACATTGTAAATACAACAACAATATTCTGTCCTGCGTGATAAACCTTTATCACACGCTTACAAATGATCCATTCATGGTTTGTGATTCTATCCATCTGCTGTAATACATGTGCTACACATCCAATCTTTTCCTGTTCCCTAGTTCTCCTCCCCGAGCTCACTCAACACGGCTCATGTCTTCACAACCTAACACCCCACACCACAGCGTGGACAGAGGTGGATGGAGAAAATCTCTGGAAAGTGCAATGTAATGTCCACAAACCAAAAACACGATGAATCTGAGTGACACTGTGTTAACCCTGGAAGTAACAGTCAGTCTGTCGGGAAATGTCAGGGGAGGGGAAAAAAAAAGGTGCCCATGTGAGTTTAACGCTGTGGCCAAAGCCTCGAGCAGCCATGACACACACAGAAACAAGCAGAGACGCTGACCCACAATTCAACCCAAACACATTTCAGCATGCATGAGGAAATTATAATAGAAATGTCTTATTTTTATAAAATCTGCACCACATGATACAGATGTTATGTATAATACATGTAAGAAATATGCATAGTACACATAATACAAAATAATAATCATGTCTTTGTGGTGTAAGTGAAGGATTATATGTTTCCAGAGTGTGCATTGATACATGTACATTGTGTCCTGACGGCTGTAAGAGCTCATGTAAACTGTTATTCCGCCTTTTACAGACTGCTCTGAGTCTCGTCTCCTTGGGGGAGCGAGCAAGCCGCCAGCTTAGTCTCTCACTGTCACAAAGCATCCATTTACATGCTCAGTGGTACAGGGTAAATGCAGGTCACCAGTAAAATGTGCTGCCTTGTGATGCATAAACAAAGTTGCAGCTCGTTGGCTTGTTAGAGGGGTATCTGCATGCAGTGCGCTGGGTAGGGAGGACCTCTGGAACAGCGTGACCTCGTAACACGAGGCTCCCGCACAGAAACTCCAGTGAAAAGGAAAACGAAACCCTTTTTCTGTTTCTCCTCTGTGTTGTTTTTCTTTTCATTTAGAGCCTGATTTCATGGAAAATATGATTAACTCCGGGTAATGGGAAAAACTGATGTTTGGGAGATGAATTCCAGAAGTCACACGCTGAAAATCTTCAACGGACATTCAATAATTCATATAAACAAGGACTGCACTGTCTGCTTTTTGATCGCTCTTAAAAAAACGTGTCCGTCCAAAAAAACATTCTCAGACTACATCTTCCACAGAACTTGAATTCTGGGGAGTAAATGTTTGTTTATTTAAATTTAATGTAAAATGACAGATTGAGGGTCTTTTCCAGACAGATCCTGAATACTACATCCAGACAGTGACAAAGCACAGGAATGAAAATTCATTCAAACTGCGACAGATGAAATTATTTTAGGTGGGTGAGTGTCATTCCAGCTTTTCCAGCTGGTTGAACACATGTACATCCACCCGCCCACACACACACACACACACTCATCACCTGGGTCAGTCATGTGAAACTGAAAGTAATAATAATGAAACTATTATAACAATAATGGAATAATGAAAACATGAATTGATGTTATCCTCAAATCTGTTCATTAAAACTGAAGCTATTTCCATTAGCTGATTAGCTTAGCATAAATCAACTCAAAAGCTCACTAATCAATATTTTTTATCAGCAGAAAACTGGGTTTGTTAATTTCCATCGTTCACCTTGTGGTTCTCAGGAGGTTAATGTGTGCCATTATTTTTTAGGGGCCAGAATCCCCTCAGGGTGGCAACTACACTGCAGCTTTCAATCTTCTTGTCTAATCCTGAGCAAGAAAGCGAATTCGCACATTTCCCAAAAATATTAAACAATTTATTTCTTCTTATTATCGAATAATTCAAGATATCTCTGTCTGTCTGTCCCTATGTGGCTCGAATATCTCCAGAACCATTCATCTTATCAACTTCATACTTGGCGTGTGTATTGTTCAGGGCCCAAGGAAGTGCAGTGGCGAATTTCCATGATGCGCTGTTGATCATGACAACAGCGCGTTCACGGCAACAACAACTGATTCTGCAGTTCTGGGTTCTGTGTACTGAGTTGAGCTTCACTGACTTGTCTGTACTTGCCTCAGCGCAACGAATGCAGGTCACTAATACAGTTTCAGACAGAAGGATGCAACCAGAATTACCACAGGCCAAAGAAACAGCCCATTCCAAACAGGAGTAGATTTTTTTCTTAGACGTCTAAAATGCTCTTCATGTGCACATTTAACAGAAAACATTAGGGGTTTGTAACAATGCTGCTGCACCCACCTGATAGAGATGCTCTGAGTGGATCTGCCAGAAGCTGCTCGGGGCTGACTGGCTGAGTGAGCTGGGCCTGGTAGCGCCCGGCCCAGAGCTGGAGTTGGACCTGGGCCTGTGAGCCTGGGGGAACTGGAGCTCGGAGCACGGAGGAGAAGCACAGGAGGCCCAGCTGAGCTGAGAGGACGAGGCCTGGCCCACAGGCTGCTGGGAAGGAGCTGGAGCGGCGCTGGCATCCACACTCTCACAGGAGATCTTGGTGTAGTAGAAGTCCTCCTCTCTCTGGGACTGATCCGATCCACTACTGTGTGTAAATGGTAAATAGTTTGTATTTATAGAGCTTTTCTAGTCTTGATGACCACTCAAAGTGCTTTACAGTACAGTTTGTCATTCACACACACATCCATACAGTGCATCTATTAGCTCCACTATTTTTGCTATGAGGGGGAATTCAGGGTTCAGCATCTTGCCCACTTCAACATACAGATGGGGAAGAATGGGATCGAACTTCCGACCGCTCTACCCCTCAGCCACAGCCGTGTGTGTGTGTGACACAGACAGAAAGAGACTTTTTTGTCTGGGTGTGTTACTAAAAGCAGCACTTCACTGTGGCCCACATGTGAAATCTCAAGTATATTTCATCACTTCACTCTAAGTCAGCGAGTAAAAATTTCATTCCCTCTTGTTTTTTTAATGCTTCTCTCCGGCTCAGGATATTCAGACAGCACTAAACTGTCTGGTTTGCACTTCACCCTCTACTACAGTGAAGACGTGGCAAAACAATGTCAGCATGAAGCTGAAAACTTACAATGTTATAAAACAACACGTCCCCCGAGCGACCGCTTGATATAATTCCACAAAACAAATCTATTTGTATATATATTTATCCTTCTTTTGAATACAGCTATTGAATGATATTATATGAAAGAATAACAAAACACAATAAACTGCAGTTAACACCATATACAATAAGGAATAAATGTAGTCAAGTACTTTTGCAGATATACAATATATCTATGGCCTTATATTTCATAGTTAAAATATACAGGACACACCCAGTTTTCAATGTTTGCCAATAATTGTATAATTTCTAATTTGCTCTATCGAAGAAGTTGGGTTTTCATCTGGATTACAAAAAAAACTACAGGACAGATTACCACAAAACTTTCTGGAGTAGTGCAGCATGGGTCACGAAAATGTTTGGTGCTGAACCAGATCAAGAGCAGATCCAGGATTTAACAGTGTGAGCTTTTCATTAATTTGTGTGTGCAATTTAATACAGAACCAAATAAAAATCCAGATCTTATTTATAATTCTATGATATTAGAGAGGGACTGTGGTTCAGTGTTTCTAATTATCAGCCAGCCTTGGCAGGGTCTCTCTTATTTAAAAAGTAAAACATAAGCTTAGCTAGTTTAGTGGACAGGAGAACATTGTGATATTTAAGCCTAAAATAACTGCAACAATATCAAAAACCCATTTAGGCAATATATTTGTATGTATACATATCCTTAAAAAGCATGTAATACAGACGACAGCTCACCCCAGATGCAGCACACGGATATGTCGCTTTATTCCGACTGAAGACGTGAGCACTTTGCCACAACTGGGCCACAGACACTTGTACACACCTCGGAAAGAGCTCTGTGTTAGAGAGAGAGAGAACAGAGCAGATGTTTAGTACAGACAAGGAACAGAGAAAGCAGACAGCAGCATCAGTCTTTAAAAACATTACATCACACTGGCTTTGCTGCTTGTAGAGGCAACGACTCCCCCATCTGGTGCCGCAACCTGTTCAGTCCAAACTTTTTAAGGGAGCATGTACTGCTGTGCACCTTTGGCTTTTTGGCGTTAAGCTCCTCTCCTTGCTCCAGCTCCATGTGCAGGCCTTCGTCGGGGCTGCTGTCCATCTCAGTGACAAACGGCGACGGGGTGGGGCTGGAGTTGCCATGGTCCCAGCTCCAGTAGCCGCTGCTGCCGCTGTCAGAGAGCTCGCCGCCGCCACACTCCATGTCAGCTGACGATGACGAGCCAGCTGGAAGACGGGAGGATTCACAGAAAGATTTTTTTCAAAGTTACTCTTGTCCTCCTCGCCACTCAATCAGCTCTTTTCGCTCAATATTGTTCGAATATAAACAAGCTAGTCTTTCATCCAGCGAGGAAACTTGACGCTGGATCAAACACAAACTCACCCATAAGAGCTGAGCTGTGAGAATATACCTTATAGTTTCGAGTCAAACATTCCCTGTGTCTTTGTGATGGAAATAGCTACTGTGCATCAGGGACTGCTCTGTGTCCATCCTACAGAGAACAGCAGGTGTCCCACACTGGTGCCAGGCCTGAGACGTTTTCTACTTTATGAGAACATTTCCTGAGTTTTACCATCATTTTAGACTCTATTTACTCCCTCTATGCTCCGTTCCCTATCACCTCGCCAAAAAGTAAATAAAAATACCAACTTGCTTTAGCAAATGATGCATTTTTACTCAGCCAAATATACTTAGATTAATCAATATTAAACGAGGAAAACACAGGTTAAAAGCATGTGCTGAACCTTAGTGTAAATGCATGTGGATAGAACTGTAATCATTGATTTAATATTGATTTATTTACTGAGTTTCTGACTACATAGTAAAAATAAGAGCATGTTTGCCATTGAATATACAGTAGCTACAGCTCCTATTTCTTCTAGTGCAGTGTCCGTTTTAAACAGGTCAGTTTGATATGGGCTGTTTACTTGACCTGTGGTTATAATGCTTCTTGCAGGTTTCTTTCTGTTAGTCAAAGTTCGGGGAAGCTAAACTCAGTAGCTGGCCCGACCAACAAATTCACTTTCACTTACACAGCTACACTTATATAGCTGATTAAACTGAATCTGGGTTTTTGCAATCTGTGACTGCAGACTGAAAATGATCTGTTTCTAACAGGAGACCCTTAGGGCTTTTAATTTGTAACCACAGCCTTATAGATGGTAAATAAATCATTTTCAAAATATGTATAGCTAGCCATTAAAGTGAGCAACTTTTATGAATAGGAAAACTCTGACTAATAAGACGACTGACCACTTCCCTGACATGAATATATGTATTAACAAATTAACCATTAAAAACGCCAGATTCTGTGATAAAAACTATCTATTAATGACTATTAACATTTACAACTACTGTCTTTGAGGTTAATTAGGAGTCATGTTGTTTAAAGCATCTATAAAGCAGTGTCCAATGTTGGTTTAACCATAAATAAACCCATTAGTTGCAACACAAGCTGTGTGCTGGCGAGGTGAGACAGACCTGGTCCAGGATCCATCTGTGGAGGACTCTGGACCGCAGGGCTGCAGGACAGGCTGGTCAGAACCATGGCGGCCATGATCTCGTCCATCTCCACTGACTCTGGACTGCGGAAGCTGGAGACAACAAGCAACATTAACACAATTAGACTGTGACGATTAAATCCACACACACGCTCTTACACTGTTCACTCTCGCTCACCTGTATGGTGCCTCTCTAGGAGCCGACATGTTTTTCAGGTGCGTTGTGGGTCTGACAGTTTGCAGGGGAGTGGTCAGGTTGCGCCAGCCTCGCTCAGCCTCCCTCTGCAGGTGGGCTGATGTTTTGTTCTTGTGATGGCCACTCTCTATGAACGCTTTCTCAGCCTGGACACAGCTCTGCGTGCTAACCTTAAAACGGAAGAAGTAAAAGAATTAGCTTCTAGCTTCTGTATGTTTTTGGTGCCTTGCTCTGGGTTCACTTCAGCAGTGCCCTTCCAGCTAGAATGTTGATATGGACAGACATAAAAACAATTAAGAAAATATTTCCTGTTCATCTGTAGCCTCCTGCAAGGCAACAGCACAATCTGCCAGTGAAACCGTGTGAGAAAGAAGTGGCTGCCAACCTCCAGTGACTTAAATAAGGAATCAGTACATTGATGAATAGATGGAAAGCAACAATTAACAAATGTATGTGGGGTGAACAGAAGACTCGTCCCTCTCAGTCCCCTCACCAGAGTCTGCTGCAGGTCAGGCCTGTTGATGTTGTGTGCTGTCGTAGAGACGCAGGCCTGTAGCCCCGGGGTGTGTGATGCCGTCATTGCTGGTCCTGGTCCTGGTCCTGCTCCAGCTCCGAACTCAGGTCCCATAGCTGCCATGGTGCTGCTGCATACAGAGAGGGGACTCAGCACAATGTCACACCTCCCTGAGGAAGACACAGCAAGGCTATCATGAGGAGCGAACCTATCAGAACCTGACTTCATTTCTGCGACAACGGAATGTTTCCAAAAAGGCCCATTAAGGGGAGGCCCCAGTGATTTGGTATTATAAAATGACATGAGATCTTACTTTTAACCTCAGTCAGTGAATTCTACATTTCCCATAATGCAACTTAATGGGGTCTGCCCAACACTTCCTGCAGCCTAATTGCTCACTCAAGAAACTCCACAAACAAACTTCAACACACGCTTCCTGTTAAAATGAAAAGTCGAAAGCTAAAACCAAGATAAACCTACAAGTTACATCGAGATCAAACCCTGATGACATCATCTGGGTTGTTCTCCCAGACTTGAAAAAGCTTCAGCAGACTTCACATGATCCAGATGTTTCACAAGCAGACAAACATTCATCATGTGTGAAAATCAATTTTACTCTATAGGTCTATAATATTTCACGTAACGGTCCTTCAGTAACGCTACTCGTACAAAGTTTACCGGTTATTTATATAGAGAGAATTCTCCTTGAATATACAGCGGAAGGAACCAAATGCTGGCTGTGCTGAATAAATGTGTTTCTGTGTTCATTCATTCTCTGGCTCCAGGTGACATCTGTGTGTCTGACAGAGCAGATCACAGATCACAGTTACTGACTAGTGTGGATTTACACATGTCTTGCTGTGGTTGTGTTGTCTCCTCCTCTCTGGAGGCTGACAACGTGTCCCGCAGACGTGATCTGACGTCTGGGTGGATTCACTGTGGCCTGTCGCCCACAGAGTTAAAATGGGGGCAATGCTGCTTTCAGGGCGCGTGGGAATAATCTCGATGAAATAGCGCAGCAGGGACTTTCTAGCTTTCACCACCCACGTTTAGCTAAATAAAGCTGTCAGTCCCATTTAATGGAGTTTACTGAGGGATCTGGTGTGTTGGATCAGCTGCTTCAAACCGAATCTACGTGATTAAATGTGTCACATTCACTAAATGATTACATTTGAGTTCACATTACAGAGAAATAAACACTTTCACTTTCAAAAGAATTTCGATTTTGATGATTTGAGGATTTTCTCTCTATTAAATTGTCGACACAATGTTTTAGGCTGGTGAAAGAACATTTTAGTGGGAGGCACTTTTTAATATTTTCAGAAGAAAGATAGATAGATATTCTTATTCTCCATACAAAATACATACAATACTACATTACAAAAATAAAAGATTATCTTAATTTCTGTCAAAACAACAGCTCACAACATGTTGATCTGCCACACAAATCAGGACTAAACACCCAAAATAAAGCGTTTTCCCATGGGCTGCTGTAATATCCGAGTATCTCCTTTGACAGCGAACGCAGCATAAAAACCAGATTTACCCACCTCTCCACCAATCAGCGGCGAGCATCGGTAGTAAACAAGCGGCGCGGAGTGGGCGGGGCGCTGCCGCTGATTGGCTGAGCCCTTATTTTCAAGTACACACCTCCCTCCCGACAACGTGTTGGGGCACGAGTCTCCCCGGGTGGGAGCGAGCCGGCCGAGGGGGGCGGCTGCAGAAAACAAGCCGACGTCTGCAGCTCGTTGTACAGTCACAGAGACACGGAGGAACCGGGGAGCAGGAGAACTGATCAGAAGACATCCGGAGCGAGATTAACACCGGAGACACACAAGTCACAATAACGTCATCCGCCCACTGACGGAGCAGAGCTACAGACAGGAGATCATCCACTGACCCGTGCACTGAAATACACGCAGTTCAACACAAGATCAGATTATTCTCAGTCCTTATAAATAGACTGCTGCACGTTTGATGACTGAGTCTCAGATGAAGCAGGAAACGCTCCTTTAAATTCACCTACACCCGCTGCTGTTCATGTGTAATATAGATAATAATATCGATAAGTCAGTGTTCATGGAGTCCGTCCGTGATCTCCACCCAGCAACGCAGATAGAGATCAGGAGGAACACCCCCTCCCTCCCCTCCTCTCCCCGGCTGAAGCAAAACAACATTTCTCTCTCCCCCTGCAAACCAACACGCGCGCACACGCTAAGCACAACAACAACAAAACAAGCAACCTGCGTTTTTTTCCCTGCGACTCACTCGATCGGTGGAGACCTCCTCCCTGCTCCTCGTCCCGTCCGAGCTGCAGCAGCCGGGGGGGGGGGGGTTCTGTGTCTCCGAGCCTGGCCCGTCCCGCCGCTCCGCTCTGCTCCGTTCGCCGGCTCCTCAGTCTGCCGCCGCCGGGTGGAGAAAAGGGGGTTGGTCGCTCGGTCGGATACGCGCCTACGTGTGTCTGCTCGCTGGACCAATGCCGGGGGTGACAGCTGGGCCGAGCAGCGAGCGCACGGATATCAGGCTGCAGCGTGTCCGCCGTGCGCGAGGATGATTTAGGTGAGAGGTTACCAGAGCAGCAGCAGCAGCAGCAGCAGCAGCAGCATCCTCCCTCTGTGTCTGTCTGTCTGTCTGTCTGTCTGTCACTCACATCTGCATATTCATCTGAGTCACATGGACATCAGAAGTGTTGTTGATGTTTTTGACTTAACAAAAATAAAAAATGCATTACAATGACATTATGGTTTAAATCACATGCCAAAATATTAGCAATGCTAATAAGCTGAATAATATGCATTATATGTAAGACTGCATCACCTTAGTATCCTCTTTTAAAAGCACATTTTTATAAAAAAGCTTTTAACTTTTGAATTTTGTTTGTTAAATTGCCTTTTTTTACCTATTTTCCTGCCTTAACTTCCATTGTTTCTGTGTGAAGCTCTTTGTTAACATGTTTTTTGAAAAGCTTATTATTATTATATAGTTATATGGCTGTTTCATTGTTCTTTTCATTTTATCACACAAACTAGATGAAAATCAGGACATGTGCACTTATGTATTAGATAGTAAATATGTGATGGAGATAAAAGTAACAATATGACTTAGGTTTAGAGAGTATTTGCAGTTTTACATTTAAGCACTTATGGTCTTTATATTATTACAACAGCAACAGCTACTGAGGAGTTATAGTTATTGTGTTGTTGTTGATTAAATAAGTAATAGCAATACCATTGCTGAACCCTTAACTTTTGTTGTTTAATATCAAATTTCAATTTGTGGTGGTGCAGACCTCCACCAAGGCCCAAATGAAACCACATTAAATTCACTGGATCCAGATTTTTATTTGGATCTGCACCAAATTGCATACGCTCATAAATATTAGTTTCCTAAACATGATTCTGTGAGAAATGAAGGTTGAAATCAGCTCTGATCCCTGATCTAGATCTGCACAAAAATTTAATGGGGTCTTCCTTGGGGCATGACCCACCCCTCCATAAAATCTATTGGAAAACTAACAAGCAAATGCAGAAAAAAACATAACCTCGGTGGAGGTAACACATATCAATGCAAATAAACTGTATAATATAGAATATAGATGTAATAACATGAAACCACAGTTTTTATCTTGTCTGAACGTGAATATTAATCTGATACAGGAACATAAACTGTGAATTTATTACAAAAATAAAATGTGAGTGGACCCATTCATGCTCCATTAATTGTGATAGTCAAATGCAAATAATTCTAATAAAACTGCTCATTCAATGTCAACCCCCCACATCACATGAAACATCACCCACACTGAGATGAAAGACGACTTTTATGTGTGTGTTTCACAGACAGGATTAGTGTTGACTGTCTGCACCCTTTCCACCAGACATCCAGTCAGCAGGGATTTTAGGGTCTGAGCACCGACCCAGTCACAGAGAGGGAGAGACACACACACACACACAGACACACACACACACACACATACACACACACACACACACACACACACACACACACAGAAACTCAATCCTAGTCCCTATATTATTCCTAAAGCAGACAGAATTCCTGCTGCCCTCTCTACTTCCTTTACTGATGACATGTTATCTTGACAGCCCAACTGCCTTGACTGGTTCGACAGAGATCGATGCCATGAACAGATAATGGATTTACATAGCAGGAGGTAAACATTTATAATAAAAAAAATGCAGGGGTTTTTAGCGAGACAATAAGTGTAATTGTGCAATAGGAATAATGATTCAAAGGGTGACGTTCTATGGGCAGAGCTTTGACAGCCTGGGTTTTAGGTCATTGAAACATTAGAAATCCACCATTTGAAACAATGGCATGTTCTCTTAAGCCTGTTTACCACTGGTCAAAAAACCCACTAACATCTGGCTCGACGTTCACCCCCTGGTCAAATGACAAATGATAATCAGTTCTAGCTCCGATCAGCAGTGATGGAAACTTGACACTCAGGTGAACCTGCATTTGCTGCATCAAAAAAGTAAAAATCCTCTTCTTGCAATGGGAAAGGAGTTTCCCTGCATAAAACAACCTGCACCTGCCAATCTTTGTTGAAAAAGAGGTATCAGACAACACATGTAGGTTAAAACCAAATCGACTACTCAAGATAATGCTAACATGCTACTGTTTAATTGATTTATTTCATATCATCCTGCACTTTTGTCCCATTCCATCCTATGCTGATATATTTTACCAGACAAATAACAATTTTAAGTATACGGATCACCCATGGCCTCAGGGTGCATCTTCTCAGCACCGCAGATATCTGTACCAACTTTCTATCCAGTCACTTCTGAGACATTTACAAAGAAAAAAAACAAACATATCAACCTCAAAGTGAGGAAACGTCAGGCGTTCTTCACAGTTAGAAGACACAAATGTCTGGACAAATTTCAAAGCACTCGGTCCAATAGTTGATAAGACACCATATTTTAGTAGTGGACCTACTTGTCTTGATCCATGTCACCATAGGTTGCCGAAAACTGCTTGTTGATGGTTTAATCAAATCTGATTTTCGACAACCCACCAACAATATATGAGAGTATTTGGGGTTCTACAACCTAGGTGGGTATAGTCACAGCTGGCTTAGTCTTCAATGACAACAAATCTGCTGGCTCACCTGTTTGCTTTCCACCCAAGAGAGGCAGCCGAGCAACATTATTTACACTCTATACTTGAAACCAGTGACAATGAAAAGAAGTCACATGGGATCCTACCCCTCACAATCAGAACGTTTTCAGGGTCCTCAGAGTACAGTGACTAGAGAAGCAGTACCACTGGCATCTGTTTTGTCTCACTTGGGTGTGTTTTATTTGGACAGATCAGCAGAATAAAATGGCAATGCATGGCATGACAACTGGTATGACAAGAACGACAACTCCACCCTGCCTTGAGGTCTGGTGACCTTTGAATTCTCAGTCGACTCAGGTGCCACTCCTATCTCATCGCAATCGGCGAAGGTGGCACCAAAACTGTCTTTGTTTCTGGCATAAACAGACCCACAATACCACGTGAAGATAATTCTACAGCCTGGACTTGCATGAACAGATCCAGGGACTGATCACTAGCCGACTGAGAAACTCGATGAAGAGACAGAGAGGAAACAGATAGAAAATGAAAGTGCGCTTACGGTTAAAAAAAAAACCTATTACCACAATTAATTAATATCATCACATGCAGTACATAATAAGAACCCCCTTGTGGTTTTCTAGAATCCCATCCAGCCCAGTGGAAACAGTGTAAGTAAACAGTAAGATCCAAGGGCCAATGTTTTAGCATGTTTTATCCCAATACACTACACTCTCATACTATACAAACACCAAGAGTCTGCTAACTGATTTTGATGCAGCACCGAAATGAATAATACCATTGGCTGATACATCCATAGATCATATATTCTATTCTACCATATGCATTTTGTCATTTGATTTGATTTTTATGCAAAGAGTTAGTAGATGTGAATTTCTATCCCACGGCCACACTTGTTGAATATCAAGATATATCCACCAGACAGCTCGGTTTAGCATAAACACAGGAGAGGCTAGAACCACAGTACCTCTAAAGCTGGAAAGGCCATTTACAACACATAATCCATTTAAATTACAGATTTAGCATTTTAGTTATAATTTGGTCATAAATTAGCTTTTGTGTTGCTTGGAGAGTTTTTGAGCGTCTCTGAGCATCTCTGAGCTGTAGCTTTGTATTTCTTACTTGCTCACATGAGAATGGCAATGATCTTCTTTTCTGACTCCCACCGAGAAAGTGTTTTCATCAAAATGTCAAACGTGTTCACATGATTTGCAGTAATCAAGATACAACTTTCACTGTTATGATTCTTACACTTCCCTCCATGATACTCAGCCAAGAGCTTCATGACAAATATGTCATATAATTGGATCAGCTCCGCATATGGGAAGAATCATATGGGTAACACTTCATATAAGGGAACACACAAAGTGAACATATCCAAGCACTTGATTGTAATTCATGTACAACAACTTCCTTACTTACCATCAATAAGCAGAAATTAGGAGGTTTTTAAGGGAAAACTGTTAATCAATGGAGTAGTTGCAGAATAAGGTCATTAAGAATAAAAACATTAATAAGTGCTTTATAATGACTAATAAAGAGCCAATATGCCTCTAACATCCATGCTAATAAGCAACTAGTTAATGGTTGATATCTGTTCCCTCATATAAAGTGTTACCATCACTTTTATAAACACAGATTAACTGTTAATTAAGCATCAGTTTTGGTTTGCAACAGTTTTTTTTCTTATAACTGCAGTTTTACACTCAACACAGACAATTGTGTATATTTTGTGATCATATGGTAACTGTGGAGGAAATGACAGACAGACATAATACAAACAAACAGAATACAAACTCAGAGGAGTCAACAACAGTCGACGGAAAGTCTTTTGATGAAATTCAGAGTCCATAAATGAGAGATGATATAGGAAAATTGCTTCCATCTAAATGAGCGAAGGCCTGACGTGATGAAGACGAGGCCAACTTTCTCTCGTTCATCTCTTTTTCTGTCCATTTGTCCATTTGGGACACTGTCAGTTGTGGAAAGGGTTAACGGCATGTCCATCGAGGTTTGTCCTTCCTGCTTCTTTTCAATTCCTGTAGTGTGCTTGTTATGCCGCTGTGGGGTTAGTGTTCAGAACTGGAACTGGCTGGTTAGTTAGTTATTCATATTTCTCTCTAGAGTGCTGGGAGGCATGCTTTTGTGGTTTCTCCATGAGTAGTCTAGGTCTGCAAAGTTGGAAGAGAAAGAGTAAGTGCAATGAAAATGATAGAATTAAATAATATAATGATAACTGTTATACAATTGACAGACAACTCACTGGTGTTATCCCCCATGTTTGGGTTGGTAATCCCATTGGCTCCTCCTGCTCCAACATTCTGTGGAGAAAAAGGGAAAATATCAAAATATGTATGTATGTCCTCCTGTTCAAAATATCAAGCTGCTTATCTTATCACTTTGGCACATGTTCTACCAGCGCCCAGAAAATGTATATCTATTTTGGGTTGAGCCAGCAGTTCTGTTGCTCTTTAATATG